ATATATATATATATATATATATATAATTATTGATGAATAAGATTATTTATAATTATTGATGAATACGAGTCCTTATTGACAAATATTTCAGTAGATAACATATTTAAGGGTCTGCTTTGTTAATAATTTTTTTTTGATAAATTATTAGATCATTTATAATTATTGATGAATATGAGTTTGTTTATAAAAATTTATTAGTTAAATTTATTAACAAATTAAAATTTATATTATTAACAAATACTTCAGTTGCCAACATATTTGACCGGTCTGTTTTGTCAATAAATTTTGTTACCAATAAATTTTACTAATAGTTTTTGACAAAAATTATCAATGAATATTTATTTATAAATAATTATAAGCAAATTTGTTATTATTAATAATTTTTAACAAATTAAAAAATTTATTAATAAAATTTGTTGACAACTATCATATCAGTAAATTTTAGTCATTAATAAAATTAAATTATCAACTATTTTTACTATTATCAACAGACTTTTTAACATACAATTTTTTTATAGTAATATAATGTGAATGTATATAATTATATAATTCTAGAAAAAACAAAAAGAATAAGAAATAAATTTCAAATAATATATTGATTAAATTAACTAACTTTAACATTTTATAATAATTTTGATAATTTTTTATTATTATTTTATATAAATGTAAAGGTAATATTCACTACGAGGGGAATGAATATAAAATTATTGATTATAAATATATAGACTTTAAATTGTATATATCCACTTAACAAAAGTTTAAATTGCACCATATCTTTTCTTATTTTAAAATCTGCACCTTTTGAGAAATTAATGTGTAACACACATTAACTTATTTTGTTTCTTTAAATATAGAATTTCTACAAAATTGTTATCATCACAATATTTTTTGAAACTCTAAAATTTTATGTAATGTAACTATTCTTCTAGTTTATTCCATATATTTCTTATTATAATAAGGGGTCAAACTTTTATACAACCAAAGTCTCTCATCTATTAATGTGAATCATAAATTCAATAAATGAACTTTTGTTAATTTTAATTGTTTATCCAAGTTAATAAAATAAAACATAAATGACTTGATACTTAAACATTTTATAATTCTGTTAGATAGTATTTTTAGTGGGCCTGATTTAAATATTTACGTATACCTTAATAAGGAACTTTTAAACTAATTACTATAAAACGATAAACTTAATAATATATTAAAATAAATGTTTTTAACAATCCTCATAAATACAAAATTTATTATTAACAACAACCAGATAAAAATATAATATTTTGAGTCTATAATTTTCATTTAATAAAGATGACGTTCAGTCTTTAATTTTTCATTCAATAAAAAAGATATTTAAAATTTCTAAATTATTTGGATAAAAAAGTAAAGAAAAATTAGAGTAACGACTTAATGAAATTATTTTTGTCTATATTAATATATTTAAAAAAAATTAGTAAAATAATTTTTTAAAACAATTTGATGATAGAAATATTTTTTTAAAACATATAAATTAGAATTAAAGTATATTTTGAATTGAAAAAAACTTACTAACAAAATTAATGAATAAAAATTTAAAATAACAATATATGTTAAAACGAATTATTTTAAAATTAATCAAATTTAAGTAATATTGTTTTATTTTATTTATTATTTTATTAACTTTTTATTTTCATTATTTATCCGGAAAACATAATTATATTCGATTATTGGTGACCAATTATATATGAAACTGTATTTCTTTTTAAATCTTAATATATGAGCGAAAAAAGTTTATGCTTATTATTTTTCTTAGTGATTATTCAATTTTTTTTTGTCTTTATTATTTTTTTTATACACATTATCACTTTTTTTATTTTGTTAAAAATAATTAAACTATAAATATCTATTTGTTTTTGTATAATTACTATGCATGAATCCGTCACTGGATGATATTATAAGAACATTATTTTTATTTTGTTTGTTTATTTATACTCTTACTTTTTGGTGTTCCTAATGGCAAAAACCTTGCTTGAACTACATTGAACTGTTTGATCATGTTCAATGTAAACAAAGATACTTGTAAGAAGTGTCACTAAAAGTTTGTGAATGCAAAAACAGTGCTTCAGCTTTATGCTTCCTTTGTTCTTGTTTCCTTAGTTTGAGTTGTTTACTCTTTTTGTTTATTATCATTGTATTTTTTTTACTTGTTTTGTAGAAATAATCTTGTCATTCACAAACATGTTAAATTGTTTGTATGTTGTTTACGCATTTGTAAAGTTATTTGTTTTTATATGATTGTATGTCTTATTTGGATTGAAAGGTATTTATACTGGTTTTTATCAAAGTCGAAAATATTATTAAGGTTAATTATTGTATTTTGAGATAATTTTTGATTTAGAGATCGAAATTTTATCTTGTTGTTCTTAAAAGATGTTTTAGAAGGTGAAAAAAGAAAATGTATTTAAATTACGTTTCACGTCAATTTATAAGTGATGTGAAATTATTGTGTATTTCTGAGATATTATCCGTTTTAAAAATTTTTTTATCACGATTTTGTTTTAGAATATAAAAGTATTAAGTGTATCTTAATATATTTAATCCATACTTGACCACAGTTATTAATATATTCGCTTAAAAAAAATAATGACAAAATTGTCGTAGTTTTTAATATAGTTCTTATTCTAAGTTACTAGTTGTTGGAGAGACTTTAAATCAAACATGTTTTTTTTTTCTTCAGCAAACATGATGATATCCTTCAAAAATTAATGGACATTGGGTACTTTGCTCAATCATGTATGTATTTTCATTATCACTTAAAGTTTTGCATGTTAGTTAGCTACATATTATGAAAATATAATTAAGATCTTTTATTCAAACTTGAAAGTGATGACTTGGTTACCTGTACAATAGGATCAGACAAAGATCAAAATTAAATATGACTAATGTGAATGATCTTTGATGATATTGCAGGTTAATCAAGCTGATGTACAACATCTTGATAATAAATATCCATTAAGCAGCAATTTCAAACAAACCAAACTCCACTAATATGTTCAATATTTTCACAAAATTTAGAATAGTGAACAAAATTAGGAAATAATTGAATATTTTAAATATGAATCTCTACACAAGTTTTAAGAGACTTTAGTAAAGAGTTGGTGACTTAAAACAAGAATTTAATTAATTCTAGAAAATTTTAAAATAAATGAACATGTTATTTTATTTTTATTTAATCATTATAATTTAATTATTTTTTATATGTTATTTTGCCTTGTATGTTTATACCATATAAGTTAGATGCCACGCTGACACCAATTTAAATTTATTATTTTAAGTTTAGCTTAATTTAAAATTCGGTTTCAATATTGTGCAAAAATTTTATTTTTTTATTTTTAATTTAACTTAATCTTGAAAAGTATACTTTTTACAATAACAATATAAATTTGGAATAAAAAAGTTATCAAAATAAAATCTAAATTTACTTTTAACACGAACATTATATAATCACTGTACAAATTTATCTACTGAAAAAAAAACTTTATTCTATTTCATTAATTAAATCAATTAAAAAAATTTCACTTCCATTCATCCTCCCTTTAATACAAATAAAACGTCATGGTATAAAATAATTAAACATTAAGAATATTTAAATAATGTTTAACAGCAATAATATAATCAGAAAACAATGTGTATCCGTCCGGTGCAGGTCCCATTAGTGGCAGTATTTGAATGTGAAAAGTGACAAAATTTGTTGGCTGAATGAGGAAGTGGGGGAACAAGAGTTACGGGTTTGAATTTTGTGACTGGACCCAAACCATTTCCGGAACAGCTGCATGTAAGACAAGTGTGGCAAAACCCAATTTAATTTTCCTTCCTTAAAAAACATCCAAGTACCCAAACCCCACTTTCGTAATTTCTCACCCTTCCCTCAACCCAACCCTATCAAACAGCCCCAGCCCGGATCTTTCGCGGACGTGTTTCAGACAAATTTTCTTCCGCGCAGAGCCAAAAGTCACTTCTCTCCGCTCTTTCTTTATTATTTCTTTCCCTTCCGTTTCTATCTCTCTCCCTAAAATCAAACTCTCTCTGCCTTTACGCTGAAACTCTTGCCATTATATAAACAACTCACCACCCTCTCACAATCTCTCTCTCTTGCTCACCATTTCTCTGAAAACGAGCAACCCAACCTTGCATGCATTCTTCTGCTTCTCTCTTAATTTATTCTTTGCTTTCTAACATGGAGAAGAAGTAGCTATCTGTTCAACCAGTAACGCTTCTCCGGAGTAAGACTTTCTTTCAGTTTTCGCCCTTTATTTAAGCCTTTTTTTCTGTCTCTCAATCAACTGTTACTCATTTTCTGCTTCTTCAGAAACGTTTTATTTCAGCACTTCATTTTGCACCATTCTTATTCCTATACCAATCAATGGCACGTGCCACTAACTGGCTATCGTTCTCCCTCTCCCCCATGGAAATGCTCCGAACCTCGGAACCTCAGTTCGTGCAATACGACGCCGCTTCTGCAACTAACTCGAATCACTACTTTCTCGATAACTTGTACACCAACGGTAATATACAGTAGTTACTTACTACTTACATCCTTGCTTACTTACCAGTTACTGTTTGCTGCTTCCATAAAACAAGTGCAACTGAGAGATCTCTGAAAATGTTCGTTTTCTGTGCAGGGTGGGGAAACGGGAACCTCAAACCTCAGGTGCTGATGGACCAGAATCTGAACCAGAGCGACGTCAGTTTTGTCGAATCCTCCCAGTCCCAGTCCCAAAGCGTCAGCCATGCGCCACCGCCCAAGCTTGAGGACTTTCTCGGTGACTCCTCTGCGGTGATGCGCTATTCCGACAGCCAGACGGAGACTCAGGACTCTTCGCTGACTCACATGTATGACCACCACGGCTCTGCATATTTTGGTGACCAGCAGGATCTCAAGACCATTGCTGGATTTCAAGCTTTTTCTACCAACTCTGGCTCGGAGGTTGATGATTCCGCGTCCATTGGAAAAACACAACCCAGCGAGTTCGGGACTCACTCTATTGAGTCCTCTGGGAACGAGTTCGCCGCGTTTTCCGGTGGTCCCACCGGCACTCTCTCTCTGGCTGTGGCACAGAGCTCCGAGAAGGCGGTGGTGGCAGCAGATTCCGGTAGCTCGAAGAAGATCGTGGATACCTTCGGCCAGCGGACTTCTATTTACAGAGGTGTCACCAGGTAGAGTAATTTTTCATTTATGTAATACTATTATTATTGAATCAATCCATTACTGTTTTATGTTTTTTGTTTGTTGGTGTGTATGGTGCTTGTACTAAAAAATGAGGTTTCTCTTTTTCTTACCGAAAGGATCTTTTGACACGTTGGAAGTTGAAAAAAGCAGCTTGCGAGTTGTTGTCTATTTGTAAAAATATATCAAGATAGGGATTTTAGATGCGGAGTGTTGACAATGGCTTGAGAGAGGTCAAGGTCATAAATTTGGCCTCTTCTCACATCTATTTGATGTTAGATTGTGATTTTCCTTTAATTATGTTTTTTGTGATTCTGCAGACACCGATGGACAGGTAGATATGAAGCCCATCTATGGGACAACAGTTGCAGGAGGGAGGGTCAAGCCAGGAAAGGGCGTCAAGGTCTATCTATCTATCTCTCTATTCTTTAAAATAAAGAAAAAGAAAATGAGAATAAGGAAGGAATAGGTGTGATCATATAGCACTGAAAAGTGGCTTGCATGCATTGAAGGAGCAGTTAATGGTTGGAGTGGGGTAGGACACCTGGAGTTTCTTTGTAAACAGTCCTTTTTATGATTGACTGATGGGTGTATATGCATATATACTACGGTGGTATGTGCCGCCATTTTGCCCCTTGTGAGTCGGGTGTCTATGCTTTCTTGTCTGGTCAGACATGTTAATCTCTCAGTGTTGCTGTTCTCTCTGCATTCTCTCCCTGTTCCGTACGCTTTTGTTGACACCTTCTTGTCTAGTATCTTATCTATCCGTCCTTCCCCTTCCTCATTAGTCATGAGTCATAACTGATATGGTGCATTAGGGCTTTATCTTTTGCTTTTGCTTTCCCACTTGCCAGGGAAAGCTGTGTTTGACCACATCACCCATCACTCCCATATTGAAATTTGTACTTCCTTACATTAAGAAGGAGGAGGAGAGTCTACTGTAGCTCTGAAGGGTTCAACCACACTGCCTCTGGCCCCCATCTCAGAATAATGTTCTGAAACAAACTCACGGGATTTCTTAGATTCTATGTTCCAGAGACAAATAACAATAATGTTTTTATTACCAAGCCTCTTTATTGGACGAAAATATTTGTCTACAATTCGTTCCCATGAGAGATAGGCAATTCGGCATTTCTTTTTTCTGTCTGTTTTTTAATGCCGGGATATGTCTTTGACTATAAGCTATCTACTTACTATGATTGTTGAGATTTTTATTAACCTGAAAGCAAAATTTGATTATCACTTTGCACGGATACCATCAATCTTTGTCTTTAAATTAATGTTTTTCGTAGATGGAGCCTTTTAGTACAAATAAAATTCGACTAGTCCTTGTTCTAGGAAAAGAGGATGGGGTTGATGGATCTAATCCAGTGTACAGTTGTTTTCATCCTATCTAGCAGCCATAAAGGGCGTGAGAGAGAAAAAAAATAAAGGAAAAAAGAAAGGTTTGTTGTGCGCATGCACCGTGGCAATTGGCAAGCATATGATCACTTTTCTTTTCGGCCATTTGCATTTTGGGTTAGAAAAGTAATTTTTGGCAGATAATTTTGACTATTCCGGTAGCTGATGTTTGATATTTTTGGCTTTTCCTTTGCATGGAACGGGACTTTGGTGCATTTCTGGCTGTCATTCAACTTTTTGACTCTTGTACAGTTTATTTGGGTAAGTAGTACTTTTCACTTAGATTTGGTTCAATAACCTTAATAATATCTTAAACTTTTTCCGTTGTTTGAGAGATGGTTGTGACATAACCCATTGTCGTGGTTATCAGGTGGATACGATAAGGAAGAAAAGGCCGCGAGAGCTTATGATTTGGCAGCTCTAAAGTACTGGGGTCCCACTGCTACCACCAACTTCCCTGTAATGCAGTCACTTCTTTCTTGTATTCAGTTTTTGATAGATCTTAGTTGCATGAAATCCTACCCATATTCAACGAGTGAAAACCTACACTCTACGCAAGGAATCGTGCATGTTGTGTGTTCATATTTTAATACACTTGTATATATAAAAATCTCTCTTTTCAGAAATTGGTTGGAGTGAAAGAAATATGCTTTACTTGGTATGTAAAAAGTTCAGGCTAAGGTGCCAAGAAAGGGTGTGCATGGTATCTTCATACTAACGTGACAAGAATGAAAAGAAAGAGATAGCTAGCTTTTGTTCCGTTTTGTGTCTTGTTTGTGCTTCGTCTGTGTATTGCACGCTTGTGTACAATGCATGGATTAGTATTATAACTAACATCACTTGCCTTATTTTCTATCATCTTTCTCAGGTGTCCAATTATTCAAAGGAATTGGAGGAGATGAAGCATGTAACGAAGCAAGAATTCATTGCATCACTGAGGAGGTTTGCTTGAGTCAGCTTATAAAAATTTATCACAGCACTTCTATGCTNAGTCACTTCTTTCTTGTATTCAGTTTTGATAGATCTTAGTTGCATGAAATCCTACCCATATTCAACGAGTGAAAACCTACACTCTACGCAAGGAATCGTGCATGTTGTGTGTTCATATTTTAATACACTTGTATATATAAAAATCTCTCTTTTCAGAAATTGGTTGGAGTGAAAGAAATATGCTTTACTTGGTATGTAAAAAGTTCAGGCTAAGGTGCCAGGAAAGGGTGTGCATGGTATCTTCATACTAACGTGACAAGAATGAAAAGAAAGAGATAGCTAGCTTTTGTTCCGTTTTGTGTCTTGTTTGTGCTTCGTCTGTGTATTGCACGCTTGTGTACAATGCATGGATTAGTATTATAACTAACATCACTTGCCTTATTTTCTATCATCTTTCTCAGGTGTCCAATTATTCAAAGGAATTGGAGGAGATGAAGCATGTAACGAAGCAAGAATTCATTGCATCACTGAGGAGGTTTGCTTGAGTCAGCTTATAAAAAATTATCACAGCACTTCTATGCTGTTACTGAAACTTTGAGTTTCATTCATGCAGGAAAAGTAGTGGGTTCTCTAGGGGAGCTTCCATATACAGAGGTGTCACAAGGTTTGGAGTTTAAAATTTAAAATTATACAAGAAAAATAACATATTGGTGATAGATTCTGTTTTAATACTTGTAAGTTGTATCCTGCAGACATCATCAACAGGGAAGGTGGCAAGCAAGAATTGGCCGCGTAGCTGGAAACAAAGATCTGTACCTGGGAACATTCGGTATATATATATTTTGTTCTTCCATAGTTGTCGTGTTTGACAGTATCCATAGTTGTTGTGTGATGAAGTAACTGAGTTGAGATTGTAACAGCAACGGAAGAGGAGGCAGCGGAGGCATATGACATTGCAGCTATAAAGTTCAGAGGTGCAAACGCAGTAACAAATTTTGAGATGAATAGATACGATGTGGAAGCTATAATGAAGAGTGCTCTTCCAGTGGGTGGGGCAGCAAAACGCTTGAAGCTTTCCCTTGAATCGGAGCAGAAAGTTGGTGTGAGCAGCAGTCAGCAGAATCCACCGTGTGGAAACGTCAGTGGAAGCATAAATTTCTCGGCCATTCACCAGCCTGTTGCTTCGATCCCTTGTGGAATTCCCTTTGATTCTTCAACAGCATATTATCACCACAACCTTTTCCAACATTTTCATCCTACCAACGCTGCCACGGCAGTTTCCACCGTCACTTCGGGCAATGTAGCTGGGCTTACCGCACTTCCTCCACCGGCGACAACGGCAGCTGAGTTCTTTATTTGGCCTCACCAGTCTTATTGATCTAATCAACTACAACATCTTATGCTAACAAATCAAAAGCTATATAGCTCCTCTATAATTAACACCTTTAGGCTCCTAAGAAACAAAAAATCAGGTTTTTGAGTTCGCTAGTCTTAGTTACAGTAGGAAGCTGGATATGTAACTAATTACTCAAGAAATCAGAAATATTTGCTGCATCTTAATCTTTGCACAACAATTCCCTAAATGCTTCTTAACTTTTGTATCTTCACCTTTGCTAAATTACCTTAATTGCCAATTCATCTTGTCTTTCAAATTGCTGTTTTTAACATTTCTGTGAAACACGGGAATACAATGTTCCATTATTAATTCATTATTATTCTACAGTGTTTAACAAAATTTTCAAGTCTTAATCTATAAAAGTTCTTTTACTGTTCTTTTATAATAGTTAAGCAAGCAACGACTTTTCTGTAAAAACTAACTCATTCGGACTAATAATACACCCAAAGTTAAAAAATCATGTCCTTTTTTACGAATGTTCATTTTCTAATTTTAAATACAAGTGAATAATAAGATATCTGAATAAAAATCGACTCACATATTAATTTTTAACCGTTAAATATTTTAAATAATGTCATTTTTATATGATGGTTATTTTTTTTTATCTAATGTAAAATTTGATTTTTATTTTAGTTGAAATATTTCAAAATAATGTATATTAGAGTGGGTCAAATTTTATTAACGGTCAGTTTTTCCGTATTTGTGTTAGTTTATACCAATTTCATTAATTTCTTTTATATTCTATTATTTGTTATCTTAGAGATTCAAAATTATTTGTTATGTCAGATACTTAATATTGGCGTTAAAAGAGTTTCATTACAAGCTAATGGTTAAAAATATAAAATAACCATAAAAATTAAGATGAAATAAATATTTTGTGCTATTCTCCTTTTTTATTCAGTTCACCATTTTAACTGGAACCAAAACAAATTGTCTTCAACTAGTCTTTTTTTTCTTAAACGCATCAAATTCAGAATAAAACTTATCTAATGTCCTTGCTTTTGTATTTTCTTAAACTTATCTAATGTCTTAGCTTTTGTATTTTCTTTAACATTTTATTAAATGCTACTTAAGTAACTGCCAGAAGTCTGCCTTTTCTAAAGGAGTATTTAATTAAGTAATAAAAGAGGCTACATTTAAAATTATCTACTTCTATATATAAAGAATTTTCTTTCTTTGTCCATATTTATTTTTAATTTTATCTTTTAAAAAAATAAATTAAAATAATTATTTTATCAATTTTATCCTTTAAATTACAATTTATTTAAATTTAATTATTAATTATTTTAAGGTTTAATACCCAATTTTGTCCCCAGTTTGATTCGGAAATCTCAATTTAGTCCCTCTATATAAAAGTAATTGTAATGGATCTTTACTTGTAATTATGTGAGTCAAATTAGTCCCTTCTGTTAAATATAGGCAAATGGAGTTAATGGGCTGATAATGTGGCAGTAGTCACTGATTAGGTGTCAACACGTAATTGAGATTGTGCTTACGTGGTGTTAGGGCACCTGATTTTAAAGTTAGGGCACCTAATTGGAAATTGGGGATAAAATGATTTGGGGGTGATTTGTTGCAGATTAGGGCATTTTGGTGTGTGCGAAAGAAGACAGAAGCAGTGATCGCGGGAACCATTAAGTTTAAGACAAAGCATTTGTTAGTGGACGACCATTCGTGGAGATCGTGTTGGTGGGGTAAATAACGAAAAGCGACTTTCGAAGGTGCGTTTATGGTAGGTTTTGTTCTGTGTTTGGTTGCTTTCGGTGTGGTCCCCCCAGAACTTTTGATTTTTGTATGGTTTTTCTGTGTTGTGTGCCCCAATGTCAATGCATTTGCTTTGTTTCTGTTGCGACATTGTCATTGTGGTCCCCCTTGATAGTGTGTGGTACTGTGTTGTGGCATTTTCTTTATTTACTGTGATAAATGTGGTTTTGCTTTGTTTGAGTTGTTTATGGTCTGTACAGTGATATGTTTATGCTTTGTTTTTTGGTTAGATATCATTTGGGTTAAGGGTTAAGCATAGATTAACTGTGAACAATTTTTATATTAGATAATATGGCCAACTCAGACATTGAAGTCGTGTTTCACCATGGAGGGAAATTTGAGAATAATGGGACATTTGGATATCACTATGGTCAAACCACAACTTTAAAAATAGACCCTGATCGATGGAGTTATTTTGAAATATTAAGCATTCTAAAGGAGATGGGTTATAGGAATGTAAAGGACTTATGGTATTCATTGGGTCGTGGTCCTGTATTAGAAGATTGTTTGGAACCTTTATTAGATGACAAGGGTGCTTGTCATCTGATCAATATTGCTATGTTGAATGGTGAAGCTCACCTTTATGTTATACATAGGGTGTGTGAACCTGAGTATCTTCTGCAGTTGGAATACTTTTCTGAACNAATGCCGGGATATGTCTTTGACTATAAGCTATCTACTTACTATGATTGTTGAGATTTTTATTAACCTGAAAGCAAAATTTGATTATCACTTTGCACGGATACCATCAATCTTTGTCTTTAAATTAATGTTTTTCGTAGATGGAGCCTTTTAGTACAAATAAAATTCGACTAGTCCTTGTTCTAGGAAAAGAGGATGGGGTTGATGGATCTAATCCAGTGTACAGTTGTTTTCATCCTATCTAGCAGCCATAAAGGGCGTGAGAGAGAAAAAAAATAAAGGAAAAAAGAAAGGTTTGTTGTGCGCATGCACCGTGGCAATTGGCAAGCATATGATCACTTTTCTTTTCGGCCATTTGCATTTTGGGTTAGAAAAGTAATTTTTGGCAGATAATTTTGACTATTCCGGTAGCTGATGTTTGATATTTTTGGCTTTTCCTTTGCATGGAACGGGACTTTGGTGCATTTCTGGCTGTCATTCAACTTTTTGACTCTTGTACAGTTTATTTGGGTAAGTAGTACTTTTCACTTAGATTTGGTTCAATAACCTTAATAATATCTTAAACTTTTTCCGTTGTTTGAGAGATGGTTGTGACATAACCCATTGTCGTGGTTATCAGGTGGATACGATAAGGAAGAAAAGGCCGCGAGAGCTTATGATTTGGCAGCTCTAAAGTACTGGGGTCCCACTGCTACCACCAACTTCCCTGTAATGCAGTCACTTCTTTCTTGTATTCAGTTTTGATAGATCTTAGTTGCATGAAATCCTACCCATATTCAACGAGTGAAAACCTACACTCTACGCAAGGAATCGTGCATGTTGTGTGTTCATATTTTAATACACTTGTATATATAAAAATCTCTCTTTTCAGAAATTGGTTGGAGTGAAAGAAATATGCTTTACTTGGTATGTAAAAAGTTCAGGCTAAGGTGCCAGGAAAGGGTGTGCATGGTATCTTCATACTAACGTGACAAGAATGAAAAGAAAGAGATAGCTAGCTTTTGTTCCGTTTTGTGTCTTGTTTGTGCTTCGTCTGTGTATTGCACGCTTGTGTACAATGCATGGATTAGTATTATAACTAACATCACTTGCCTTATTTTCTATCATCTTTCTCAGGTGTCCAATTATTCAAAGGAATTGGAGGAGATGAAGCATGTAACGAAGCAAGAATTCATTGCATCACTGAGGAGGTTTGCTTGAGTCAGCTTATAAAAAATTATCACAGCACTTCTATGCTGTTACTGAAACTTTGAGTTTCATTCATGCAGGAAAAGTAGTGGGTTCTCTAGGGGAGCTTCCATATACAGAGGTGTCACAAGGTTTGGAGTTTAAAATTTAAAATTATACAAGAAAAATAACATATTGGTGGTAGATTCTGTTTTAATACTTGTAAGTTGTATCCTGCAGGCATCATCAACAGGGAAGGTGGCAAGCAAGAATTGGCCGCGTAGCTGGAAACAAAGATCTGTACCTGGGAACATTCGGTATATATATATTTTGTTCTTCCATAGTTGTCGTGTTTGACAGTATCCATAGTTGTTGTGTGATGAAGTAACTGAGTTGAGATTGTAACAGCAACGGAAGAGGAGGCAGCGGAGGCATATGACATTGCAGCTATAAAGTTCAGAGGTGCAAACGCAGTAACAAATTTTGAGATGAATAGATACGATGTGGAAGCTATAATGAAGAGTGCTCTTCCAGTGGGTGGGGCAGCAAAACGCTTGAAGCTTTCCCTTGAATCGGAGCAGAAAGTTGGTGTGAGCAGCAGTCAGCAGAATCCACCGTGTGGAAACGTCAGTGGAAGCATAAATTTCTCGGCCATTCACCAGCCTGTTGCTTCGATCCCTTGTGGAATTCCCTTTGATTCTTCAACAGCATATTATCACCACAACCTTTTCCAACATTTTCATCCTACCAACGCTGCCACGGCAGTTTCCACCGTCACTTCGGGCAATGTAGCTGGGCTTACCGCACTTCCTCCACCGGCGACAACGGCAGCTGAGTTCTTTATTTGGCCTCACCAGTCTTATTGATCTAATCAACTACAACATCTTATGCTAACAAATCAAAAGCTATATAGCTCCTCTATAATTAACACCTTTAGGCTCCTAAGAAACAAAAAATCAGGTTTTTGAGTTCGCTAGTCTTAGTTACAGTAGGAAGCTGGATATGTAACTAATTACTCAAGAAATCAGAAATATTTGCTGCATCTTAATCTTTGCACAACAATTCCCTAAATGCTTCTTAACTTTTGTATCTTCACCTTTGCTAAATTACCTTAATTGCCAATTCATCTTGTCTTTCAAATTGCTGTTTTTAACATTTCTGTGAAACACGGGAATACAATGTTCCATTATTAATTCATTATTATTCTACAGTGTTTAACAAAATTTTCAAGTCTTAATCTATAAAAGTTCTTTTACTGTTCTTTTATAATAGTTAAGCAAGCAACGACTTTTCTGTAAAAACTAACTCATTCGGACTAATAATACACCCAAAGTTAAAAAATCATGTCCTTTTTTACGAATGTTCATTTTCTAATTTTAAATACAAGTGAATAATAAGATATCTGAATAAAAATCGACTCACATATTAATTTTTAACCGTTAAATATTTTAAATAATGTCATTTTTATATGATGGTTATTTTTTTTTATCTAATGTAAAATTTGATTTTTATTTTAGTTGAAATATTTCAAAATAATGTATATTAGAGTGGGTCAAATTTTATTAACGGTCAGTTTTTCCGTATTTGTGTTAGTTTATACCAATTTCATTAATTTCTTTTATATTCTATTATTTGTTATCTTAGAGATTCAAAATTATTTGTTATGTCAGATACTTAATATTGGCGTTAAAAGAGTTTCATTACAAGCTAATGGTTAAAAATATAAAATAACCATAAAAATTAAGATGAAATAAATATTTTGTGCTATTCTCCTTTTTTATTCAGTTCACCATTTTAACTGGAACCAAAACAAATTGTCTTCAACTAGTCTTTTTTTTCTTAAACGCATCAAATTCAGAATAAAACTTATCTAATGTCCTTGCTTTTGTATTTTCTTAAACTTATCTAATGTCTTAGCTTTTGTATTTTCTTTAACATTTTATTAAATGCTACTTAAGTAACTGCCAGAAGTCTGCCTTTTCTAAAGGAGTATTTAATTAAGTAATAAAAGAGGCTACATTTAAAATTATCTACTTCTATATATAAAGAATTTTCTTTCTTTGTCCATATTTATTTTTAATTTTATCTTTTAAAAAAATAAATTAAAATAATTATTTTATCAATTTTATCCTTTAAATTACAATTTATTTAAATTTAATTATTAATTATTTTAAGGTTTAATACCCAATTTTGTCCCCAGTTTGATTCGGAAATCTCAATTTAGTCCCTCTATATAAAAGTAATTGTAATGGATCTTTACTTGTAATTATGTGAGTCAAATTAGTCCCTTCTGTTAAATATAGGCAAATGGAGTTAATGGGCTGATAATGTGGCAGTAGTCACTGATTAGGTGTCAACACGTAATTGAGATTGTGCTTACGTGGTGTTAGGGCACCTGATTTTAAAGTTAGGGCACCTAATTGGAAATTGGGGATAAAATGATTTAGGGGTAATTAGTTGCAGATTAGGGCATTTTGGTGTGTGCGAAAGAAGACAGAAGCAGTGATCGCGGGAAACATTAAGTTTAAGACAAAACATATGTAAGTGGACGACCATTAGTGGAGATCGTGTTGGTGGGGTAAATAACGAAAAGCGACTTTCGAAGGTGCGTTTATGGTAGGTTTTGTTCTGTGTTTGGTTGCTTTCGGTGTGGTTCCCCTAGAACTTTTGATTTTTGTATGGTTTTTCTGTGTTGTGTGCCCCAATGTCAATGCATTTGCTTTGTTTCTGTTGCGACATTGTCGTTGTGGTCCCCCTTGATAGTGTGTGGTACTGTGTTGTGGCATTTGCTTTATTTACTGTGATAAATGTGGTTTTGCTTTGTTTGAGTTGTTTATGGTCTGTACAGTGGTATGTTTATGCTTTGTTTTTTGGTTAGATATCATTTGGGTTAGATATCATTTGGGTTAAGGGTTAAGCATAGATTAACTGTGAACAATTTTTATATTAGATAATATGGCCAACTCAGACATTGAAGTCGTGTTTCACCATGGAGGGAAATTTGAGAATAATGGGACATTTGGATATCACTATGGTCAAATCACAACTTTAAAAATAGACCCTGATCGATGGAGTTATTTTGAAATATTAAGCATTCTAAAGGAGATGGGTTATAGGAATGTAAAGGACTTATGGTATTCATTGGGTCGCGGTCCTGTATTAGAAGATTGTTTGGAACCTTTATTAGATGACAAGGGTG